AGGATCAGACGGTTCTTGTACTGGCTATTTCTCAAGTAACTTTAATTAAAAATAATCAATATGCTGGGGTACCTGGGTGGCTCAGTCGGTTAAGCATCCAGCTCTTGGTTTCAGCTCAGGTCATGATCTCATGGTTTCACGAGTTCGAGCCCCACATTGAGCTCTGTGTTGACAGCACAGGGCCTGCTTGGGATTCTCTCTCTCCCTCTCTCTCTGTCCCTCTCCCACTTGTGCTGTCTCTATCTCTCTCAAAAATCAATTTAAAAAATTAAAAAATAATAATAACCACTATGCCAAAGTGGCATGTTTTGGGGTGATATATTCTGTACCCCTGTATTGGGAACAATGAAATCTTGTCTTTGGTTGTTATCTCACATGTAATATTCAGCAGAATAGATTCCTTTCTACCACGTTGGCAGCCCACAGCTCCCTGGTGGCTGCGAGTCCTGATGATGTGGGCAGAGTAGACACCGGCCCCGGTACCCCGACTTGGACTAAGTACTCTACTTTGCAGAGTGCTCTCTGTTAAGTATGCAGCTGTATGTTAATGCAGCAGGCTCTCTGTTAATTGCAGTGTGAGAGCCTCCCAAACGCCCCGACCCTGCCCATCGCTAAGCTAGAAAGTCCCCAATGGAGAGCCAGCCTCCTCGTCTCTAGGTAAGACCCCAAAGCAGCCAGAAGTCATTGCTCACAGACTTCCCACCAGGCAGCTCCAGGGCCTGAACCCCACCGATACCTGGAAAAGTGTCACTGGCCAATATTCATGTTACCTCCTACTCAACAGTATTTCTCTTGACTTCCCCAGCTTGGGCCTCAGAGGTAGGTTTCATCAGGTGGCATCTCTCCTACAACCTTTATCTGATTTATTCACTCTAAACAAACACAAATCCGTAGATAAGACAAAGGGCCTGAGGTCAAAATTCCAGCCTGAGGACCTGGGTTCAGAATCCCAGTTCATGACTTGCTTGTCCTGTAACTTTCAGGAAGTTGCTTAGTTTCTTTTTTTCTTTTTTCCTTCTTCTTTTTTAATGTTTGTTTATTTTTTGACTGGGCGTGAGCGGGGGAGGGGCAGAGAGAGAGGGAGACACAGAATCTGAAGCAGGCTCCAGGCTCTCAGTTGTCAGCACAGAGCCCGATGCGGGGCTTGAACTCGTGGATGAGGAGATCATGACCTGAGTTGAAGTCAGACGCTTAACCGACTGAGCCACCCAGGCTCCCTGCTTACTCTTTCTGAGAGCCTCCTATTCCTCTTGAGTAAAACAAGAATAATTAAATGCTCGTCTACAGGGTACGGGAGGCTGCAGTGGTAAGGCCCCGGCGCCACGGTGGCTTGTCCAGGGTCAGAGTTTGGCTTCATGTCACTCATGGAGAGAGAGTCGGCCTGTGGCTCATGGGTCCAGGCGGGCAGCTGCAGCAACCTCCAGGCTGAAAAAGCACCCTGATATTGCTGCACTGTTTTGGGTTCTCTGCTTCCCAAATCTGGAGGACCAGCAGCCACCTTGGCAATAATCGGTGCTGCATAGATGAAGAGGCAAGTGTGGCTGTGAAGCGCTCCTGAGGTCCTTGCCGGCCATGTGCCTGCCCTGCACCACCCCCCCAAAACAGCCGGTACCCCTGGGGGGAAGCCACCCAAGAATAAAGACTGGGAACCTGTCCAGAAAAGAAGAGTTTTCACAAACCGGTCTGGAGAGTCTGGGGAGGAGGTCCCCTGGGCAACCCCAACATGAGGTGCTGTGACTCAGTCATTTATTCGCCCTCCCGAAGACAGTACTTGACATGGTTTCTCATCCAGGTGGCTGCTGGGAGCAGCTCCCAGGGAGCAGCCATTTTTGAGATGCGATGTAAGTTAATGGAAAGAGCCCACAAAGCCAGGCTCAACCCTGGTTCTCGCGCCTGCAAGGCTGGGAGACTGTTCCCTCCCCGGGTCTCAGTGGCTCAACCGTGACATAGACAGAGCCCCCCACCAGCCAGATGTCAGTGTCCATCCAGATGCGATGGCATGGGGGGGTGCCCATCAAAGCGGTATTGTTCAAGGAAGCAACACCCAAAGGGAGGGGGCAGAGGAGAGTCTCCTACGTGATTCACGCACTGCCAGCAATTTCCTGCCGGCCTCTGGGATGGAAGGACTCAAAAATAAGTGAAAACTTATGGTCAGAGCAAAGCGTTTGAATCCATGGGGCTTCTGTACTGGACCAAAGTGGCCTGGGGCTGGCTGAGTCATCCAGCCAGGGAGCACTCTTTCCGGTCTGCAAAAGAGAAGTGGGGTTTCACAGAAGCGGTGCGTGGCGTGAGAATGCACCCCCTCGCCATCCCCTGTGGAAGGCTTCCAAACAAGCATCGTTGGGTAATGGGGAACTTTCCGTTGCCACTGTCTGGAAGAATTGGGAGAGATGGGGCTGTGTCTCATCCAAAGATAGCTTCTCTCTAAATCCTTCAGTCTCTATACATGAAACCATGGGCTTCCATACGACAGGAAAGAAGCCGAAGCGGGTGGGGGAATAGATTAAACCAGCCGGTCTGGGTGAATGGCAAGCACGTGGGGATTTTTTTTTTTTAAACCAATGAACATTTGCTGTTTTTAAATTAAAAAAAAAAAGTAAGTATAATATCCAAAGCCCCATACATATCAAAAAGCTTTTAAAATATTCTTGAACCAAGCAATTGCACTTTTAGGAATTCAGCCTAAATTTAGAAAGGCAGTGCAGATTGGGGAAAAGAGCTATGCAGTTTTAACAGCAAAAAGTGATGCTCAGTCGGTAGAGCATGTGACTCTTGATCACAGGGTTGTGACTCGGAGCCCCATGTTGGGTACAGAGTTTACTTTTAAAAATAAATAATGAAATCTTTATAATAGCAAAAAGTTGGAAACAACCAAAATGTCTAGAAATAAGACACTGCTTAAAATTAGGGTAAGGCCATTTAACAGAATAGGAGCCAGCTGTTTAAAAAAAAAGCTGTGAAAACAAATACTAGGGATGCCTGGGTGGCTCATTCCTGTTAAGCGTCCGACTTCAGCTCAGATTATGGTCTCAGGGCTCAGATGTTGGAGCTCTATGCTGACAATGCAGAGCCTGGAGCCTGTGTGAGATCCTCTGTCTCCCTCTCTCTCTCTGTCTCTCCCTCGCTCATGTGCTCTCTCTCTCTCTCTCTCTCTCTTTATATAAATAAACATTAAAAAAAGGGAAAACAAATAATAAACTAAGAAAAATAGTTGCATTTCAAATCACAAAGAGATAACTTCCCTAGGCATATAAAAGGTTCTTTCAGGTCAACAACTCACAAAAAAAGGGCAAAGAATATGAAAAACAACGTGTGTGTGTGTATCTATACAGGTAAGCTGTGGGGGAAGTAAGTTCTACTTATATAAATGGGTTAGAAAAAAGCTTGGAAGCTTGGGGCCAAAAGCCACTGCCATGGGGTGAAAAGCACCCGAGGTTAGCTAGAGAGATATTGTAATGGGATCGTTATATCACCTGCAGGAAATTACTTTCCATCTGATGCCAATATACTATCGTGCTTTGATCACAAACTCCACTTGCCCCCCAGATCCTTTGCTTCTTACACACACAAGTTAATGATTACTGTCTGATTTTTTTCTCTATGTTCACATGTGTAAGATCTCGGTTTCCTCACATTCACCACATAAGTAATATCTTGTGAGCTCAATACATACGGAGATGAAACAACTGTTTGGGACTCTCATCTCCTCCCGGACATTAGACTTTCTCGTAGTCAATCCTGCATCCACTCTCTTGCTGGACAGGAGAGAACTCCAGACTCACAGTCTGAGACAGTAAGCAAAGATCCTAATTTGCTAGCACATCTTATCAGGAATGAAAATTAGGATAAGCACCTTAGAGTTTAGCAGCATCAGTACCTACTGCAGTATCTGTATCCACAGCAGTATCTATTGCTAAACTGACCCAGCAATGCCACTTCTAGCAATTTAGTCAATATGCATAAAACAAAGGATGAACCAGCTTGAGCACCGCAGCAGTGTTTATAACAGCAAAAGGCTGGAAACAACCTCAATGCCCATCAGAAGGAAACTGGTTCAATATATCATATGGAATAAACTCAGCAGAAGCATGGAATGATGCCATAAATGACCATGAGAACACGAGCAAACCTAACCTGACCCTGAGAATCTACAGGGAATAGATTCAAGCCAGTCTTTTCTAGATTCCAAGAGCCATAAAGCTGCTGAATAGCATTTGGGGACATGTAAACACTGAAGTTGAATTTTTAAAAAAAATTTTAATGTTTATTTATTTTTGAAAGAGAAAGAGAGAGATGGAGTGAGAGCTGGAGAGGGGCAGAGAGGGAGACACAGAACCTGAAGCAGGCTCCCAGGCTTCCAGCTGTCAGCACAGAGCCCCACACGGGGCTCGAACTCACAAACCAGGATATCATGACCTGAGCTGAAGTCGGATGCTTAACCAACTGAGCCACTCAGGCACCCCTGAAGTTGATGTTTATGTTCTAACATAGAAAGATGGCCAAAATACACTATTGATTACGGGGGAGAGTCACAGGGTAGCATTAAGGCGTGATCTTCTTTCCATCTAAAACTTAAATATCATGTATATGTGTTAGTCCACGCATAGGAAAAAAACGGGAAGAGCAGTGTATGCACCAAGCCGCCAAAGCCGTTATTAAGTACCTACTATGTGTTAGGTGCTGAGAACATACAGATAAGTAAGAAATTAGAATGTCATTCCATGAAGACAGAGAACTTGGCTGTTTTGCCCCAGCGTCTGACATATAACACAGATTCAGCAAACATGTATGGAATGGAAGGAGCAAAGGAAAGGAGAGACGGAGGCAGGGAGAGAGTTCCCGCCGCCAAGCTGCTCACTGTTAAAGCAGATGAACTTTTCTGGGAAGGGACAGTGCTGAGAAATCTGGAAGCAAAGAGTTCTGAGCTACCGGGGCTTCACCTAAACTGTCTCCACACCCCCCACCCCGGGTGAATGGAAGAAAATCCAGCGGCAAAGTCATGACTGTGGAGCCAGTTATCAAACTCAAAGCTTATCCAGCTGCAGGGAGACTTTGTCCAGGACAATGCGTTAGGCCCTCAGATGAAAACCAGATTAGCCAGGCTCACTTGGGGGCTCGAGTGCTGGCGATGGACGCCTCCCAGCTGGGTCTTGCAGAGCCAGAGACTCTTGGAAAACGACGCACTTTGTCGATGTCCTGGGATGATTGGCTTCAGACGACTCAGAGGTGACACCCAATGTCGCCAAGGGGAACTACACAGAAATCGCAAGGAGTGATTGCAGAAGAGGGGGGCAATGCTGGACCCTGGGCTTTCGCTTTTCCAAGCAGCCCCGTGAAGTCCTCAGAGACGCCTTTGCCGAACAAGGCAAGCCAGGACTTTGTGAAAAATTCCATGACTCAGAAGCCTGCCTGGGGAGCGAGATGAACACATTCTTCTCTGGGTTGCTGTGGCTTTTGTCTGCCTGAATAAGCCGTTGACGATTTCCCGATTTCACGACTGGGTTCTTCTCCGATTCTTTCCTGATGGCATTTGCTTAATTACAGCTGCATTTGAATAGCAGAAGCCGCAAGAGACATGTCGATTCAGGCTGAAAACTTTCCCAAGATTGGCACTTTCAGAGGGTCCCCGGAGTCACTCACATGGATGCCCTGCATCTTACTTAGTATGTAGCCCTGCACACATTCCTTCGCCCTCTGCAGCTTCAGTTTCGTCCCTTGTAAAATAGAGTCGACGACACCTATCTTGCCAGACTGTCACGTACATAAAATAAGATCACCTGTGTGCACATAATAACGGAGAAAAAGCTTAGTTAACTGTTTATGGCATTACCATTACAGGTAACATATGCGTCCTTACTAAACCTTTGACACACACTGCTTTTTTTTTTTTTTTTTTTTGAGAGAGAGAGAGAGAGAGAGCACGCAGGAGCATGCCGCACAAGTTGGGGAGGGGTAGAGGGAAAGAGAGAGAGAGAATCTCAAGCAGAGTCTGCACCCAGCACAGACCCTGATGCGGGCTCAGTCTCACAACTGTGAGATCATGACCTGAGCCGATATCAAGTGTCACTTAGCCAACTGGGCCACGAAGGCACCCTGGCCATTTGTGATCCTTACAACAACCCTATGAACTAGCTAACATTTCTATCCCCCTTGGGTCTGTGGGTAAAACTGAGGTCCAGATGAATGGTCAATGTCCTGTACTAAGAAGTGGCCAAGCTGGGATTCTAATCCAGGCCATCAACTTCAGAGTGTCCACTGTGAACGTAATTGTATAGCGGCTCCAGTGTGTAATTGTTGTGGAGACTATTCAAGATTAAATGCACCAGGGGCGCCTGGGTGGCTCAGTCAGTTAAGCATCCAACCTTGGCTCAGGTCATGATCTCACGGTTCGTGGATTCGTGCCCCACATCGGGCTCTGTGCTGACATCTTGGAGCCTGCAGCCTGCTTTGCATTCTGTGTCTCCCTCACTCTCTGCCCCTCCCCAGCTCACAATCTGTCACTCCCAAAAATAAATTGCCAGGAGCCGCACCGGCCTCTCTGGATGGCAGTCACAGCAAGGAAATGGCAGTGTTTGCACAGCTCCTGCCATGAGAAACGAAAACTGGTATCTCTTTCTGCTACTACTGGCTCATGTTGGAAATGAGCCTGCTGGTATTGACCAGGCCTCACAATATTCCATATCAGACCCATATTCTGAACACAGATACCTCATAAGGAAAAGCATATTCCTGCCTTTACAAAAGAGATTTTAGATAAAAGCTCTATGGATCATTGTCAAAAGGCTCTTCCTATGGGCCTTGCAGATCCAAGACTTAGATAATAAAGGGGGTTAAGAACACAAGAGTTACTATTGAGTCTGGTCCCATGTCAGAAGAACCTAATTTATAGTTAAGGTACAAATAAGGGCAGAACATAACTTACTAACTGGTGATGGTATGGCAGTCCCTTCCTCAAGGCCTACATTCCACAAATATCCTCCCTTACACTGGCAGCTGGGATGAGGGATAGATAAGAGTAATTAAAACATAAACCCAGATGCAAAGACTGATACATATAGAGCCCCCTTGGTAGTTTCCACAAACAAACCAATTCAGAAACATTCATCCTCTTGAGAGCCAGACAGAATGACTCCTAGCTTATCTATATACAATTTAACCTATATGTTATCCTGTTTTTCACTAAGAGCATCCTATTATTTCCTTGGTCATAAATTCACCATGACTGGGATAATTCTGCAATTGATATCACAAAAGTCCTCTCATTGTAAGATTCCTTTTCTATGACCTCATATTGTTGTTGAACCTTTAAATAAAGACACCAAAACCGACCGGACAGAGATGCCTGCCTGGTGATCAGAAAGAATCTCGGGGCTCTCTCACTCTCTCGCCGACACCGTACATCCTTCGGGGACCCCTGGACCTTCCGGAGCCGGCCTCCGGCAATAAATAAACATTAAAAAAAAGATTAAATGCACCCAATGACAAAACAGGCAAAGGATCTGAATAGACATTTCTCTAAGGAAAATATACAAATGGCCAACTAGCACATGAAAAAATGCTCAACATTGTTACCGGGGTTACATCCGGAAGTGCAAATCAAAACCACGATGAGATACCACTTGAGATCCACGGCATGGCCATGCAAAGAGTCAAATGACCATCACCACAACCACAGAACAGACAGTAACAAGGGTTGGGGAGGAAATGGAGAAACTGGAGCCTCATACACTACTGGTAAGAGTGGTAAGTGTCACAGCTGCTTTGGAAGACAGCTGGCAGTTCCTCAAAAAGTTAGACACAGAGCCACCATATGACCTAGCAGTTCAATTTGTAAACATGGACCCCAGAGAACTGAAAACACTCGTTCACACAAAACCTTGTCTATGAATATTCATAGCGGCTTTGCTCTCTACACCCACTCTCTGCTCATAGCCTAAAAGTGGAAATAACCCAAATGTTCATCAGCCAATGAGTGGATAAACAGAATGTGGTATATCCGTACAACAGAATAGTATTCAGCCATATAAAGGAATGAGTACTGACGTGTGCTACCACGTGGATGGGCCATATAAACAGAATGTGGAGGTCTGAAAAGCCAGTGACCGAAGACCATGTATTGTATAATTCCATTTCTCTGAAATGTCCAGAATTGGCAAACCCATGGTGACAGAAAGTAAATCAGTTATTGCCAGGGGCTGGGGAGTAGGTATGGGAAGGAAACGCAGAGTGACTGCTAATAAGTTTGGGGTTCTTTTGGGGAATGAAGAAAATGTTGTAAAATCGATTGAGGGAATGGTTGGCCAATTCTGAATATACCCCCCAAATTGAAATATTTACTTTAAATGGCGGGGGGCGGGGGTGCCTGGGTGACTCAGTTGGTTAAGCAGCTGACTTCGGACTTCGGCTCAGGTCATGATCTTGTGGTTCATGGGTTCGAGCCCCTGCATCGGGCTCTGTGCTGACAGCTCAGAGCCTGGAGCCTGCTTCAGATTCTGTGTCTCCTTCTCTCTCTGCCCCTCTCTTGCTGGTGCTCTGTCTCTTTCTGTCTCTCAAAAATAAATAAATGTTAAAAAAAAAGAAAGAAAGAAAGAAAGAAAGGAAGGAAGGAAGGAAGGAAGGAAGGAAGGAAGGAAGGAAGAAAGAATTACTTTAAATGGGTGAATTGTATCCTGTGTGAACTATACCTTAATAAAGCTATTTTAATTTTTTTTTAAGATTTTATTCCTAAGTGATCTCTAGACCCAACATGGGGCTCAAACTTACGATCTGAAATCAAGAGTCACGTGCTCCAACTGGGTCAGCCAGGTGCCCCTCAATAAAGCTTTTTTTTTTATGTTTATTTTTAAGAGAGAGAAAGTGCAAAGCAGGGGAGAGGCAGAGAGATGGGGACTGAGGATAGGATTCATACTCAGTGCTGACAGCAGAGACCCCAACCCGGGGCTCGAACTCACAAACCGCAAGATCATGACCTACGTCAAAGTTAGACGTTCAACTGACTGACCCACCCAGGCGCCCCTCAATATAACTATTTTTAAAGGAAAGATTCAATGTATAAATATACTTTAAGACTTCGGTATTTGTCACATAGCTCACACGCATCAGGTAATCCTTAAGGAGTCACGCACATCACAGTTTTTAGTCTGGGATAGTAGAGTTGCAGGAAGCAGGTCCTGGACAGACACCAGCTGCAAAAGTAACTGCCCACCCGTGAATGCCCCAGCTCATTCCAGCCATGTGCCAGACCCAGAGCCAGGTACCTGGAATCGGGACACACAGTGGTAGGTCTCCCTTCCGGATAAGTCTGTTAAATTGCTCACAGTCCGCCTTTACTCTGGTGTTTTACTGCCCTGATGAAAGATCTGCAGGGTTCGTGCTTTCACGGAACCGCTCACACAACATATAACGTAGTAGCCGATTTCCTGTTCTTTGGATTGTCCTGCTTTGTTTTTTCTTTTCTTTTTTTCGTAACTTGTTTTTAATTTAATATTTTATTTATTTTTGAGAGAGAGAGAGCACATGCAGGGGAGCGGCAGGGGGGGAGGGGATCTTGGGATCTGAGCCAGCTCTGGGCTGTCTGCAGTGACCGTGATGTGGGGCTGGAACTCACAAACGGTGAGATCATGACCTGGGTCGGGTCAAACGCTCAACCAACTGAGCCACCCAGGTGTCCCTCTTTTTTTTTTTTTTAAGTTTATTTATTTATTTTGAGGGAGACAGCTCATGAGCACAAGCAGGGGAGGGGCAGAGAGAGGGAGAGAGAGAATCCCGAGCAGGCTCCTCCGACTGCCAGTGCAGAGCCCAGCTCGGGGCTCAAACTCGCCACCGAGAGATCGTGACCTGAGCCAAAGTCAAGAGTCGGACACTCAACCGACCGAACCACCCAGGCGCGTCGTGTCCTGCCCTGTTCCTAACTGATAAAATTTCTCCAGGGGTCTGCGAGAAGTGAGAGGAGAGAGACACGCCCTCAGCCTTACCACACCACATTTTACCGTCAACTTACCTTCCAGACTCCACGCCAGCGGAACACTGAGAACCTTGTCCCCAGAGTCCAAATGAATAAAGCATCAGTGTCTGAGTCCGTGTGGGCTGCTCTAGCAAAATACCACAGACCCGGCAGCTTGCAACCAACCGACATTTGTCGCTCCTGGCTCTGGAAGCTGGAAGTCTGAGGGCAGGGTGCGAGGTGTTCAGGTGAGGACGCTTTTCTGGGTGGCAGGCTTCTAGTACCTTCTCTTCGTCAGAAGAAGGGAGCTCTCTGAAGCCTCTTTTGCAAAGCGCTAATCCCATTCACAAGAACTCACCCTCAAGGACCTCCCAAAGACCCCACTTCTTATTACCAATCCCTTTGGGGATTAGGAATTCAACACAGGAATTTGGGGAGGGACACAAACATTTAAACCATTGCGATCAGTACAAGTAGGAAGCGAAAGGCTCTTCAGACCTAGTGAGGAAATTCCAACTTGCCTTTCCTAAAGGCAAGTCTTTCCCAACTTCTAGTCTTTTTCTTCCTAAGAGAAGGAAGGGATGCTGGGTCACCTACCTCTAGGGGACAGTGGTCACTGGGCCCATGGCTGGAATGGGCTGTAAGCTGCAGCTCAGAGCAGAGGAGGCTCGGGCAGAAAAGGGTCCCTGCATTCACCTTGGTGTCCTTAGTGTGTCATCCACCCGCAGCCGCAGCACTGAGCGCACTGCCCAGGGCTTTGCAGACTGTCTTTGTGAGACAAAAATATTCTGTCCCCCAGCAGGATTATAAGCCACTGGGAAGGCAGGAGACATTATTTATTTATCTTGGAATCTTCTACATAAATGGTTGAAAACAAATTTGGGCACAGGGAGCGGTAGGTTGCATAACCCTCCAAAGATGTCCACACCCTAACGCCCAGAACTGTGTACATATCGCCTGACATGGAGGGATGGAAATTGCAGATGAGTTTGCAGTGAGGGCTAAGAATCTTGAGATGGGGAGATTGTCATGCATTACCTCGGTGGCCCCCATGCGACCCCGGGGGTCCTTATCAGAGGGGTCAGGAGGGCAAGAATGGGGGCAGAGGTGACGACTCCGGCAGAGTGGGAACGATGCGGAACCAAGGAATTCGGGCAGCCCTGACGCTGAGAAGCCCAGACATGGATTCTTCCCAGAACCCTTTGGAAAGAATGCAGCCCTGCTTTACTCCCTTTGGACTCCTGACCTCCAGAGTTGTAAGAGAATAAATTTGGTTGTTTTTTTGTTTGTTTTTAGAAAAAGGCCTTCTTTTTAAAGTTTATTTATCCATTTTGAGAGAGACAGAGCGTGCGAGTGCACACAAGCAGGGGAGGGGCAGAGAGTGGGAGAGAGAGAATCCTAGGCAGGCTCCGTGCTATCAGCACAGCGCCCGAGGCGGAGCTTGAACTCACAACCTGTGAGATCATGACCTGGGCCAAGATCCAAAGTCAGATGCTTAACTGGCTGAGCCACTCAGGTGCCCCAGATTTGGTTGTTTAAAGCCACTAAATTTGTGGTGATTTGTTACAGCAGCAATAGAAAATGTAAATGGTACCTACTTCCTCCTCAGCCTGGTGAAGGGTAATTGAGTTCACTCACATAATCCTTATTAAAACGAATAAATGAAAGGTATCATTGGGGCACCTGGGGGGCTCAGTCGGTTTAGCGTCTGACTTTGGCTCACGTCATAATCTCATGGTTCATGAGTTCGAGCCCTGAGTCGGGCTCTGTGCTGACAGCTCAGAGCCTGGAGCCTGCTTCAGGTTATGTCTCCCTCTCTCTCTGCCCCTCCCCTGCTCATGCTCTGTCTCTCTCAAAAATAAATCAACATTAGAAAAAAGTTTTAATGTAAAGTATTATTATCTCCACTTTATAGACAAGGAAACTGAGGCTCAGAAAGGTTACATCACGGAAGGTTGCAGACAGCAGAAACTGACTCTGGATAAGGCAAGCCAGGAAGGGAGAAGACCCTGAGCAGGGTAAATCCCCAAGGAAGTATCATCTGGGGAGCATGGTGGAGGCTGACCAAGAGCCTGCGCAGGTGACACTTCCATCTTCCAGAACGTCTTTCCTTTATGAACTTCTAGTCCTTCATTCATGAAATATTTGTTGAGAGCCTACTATGCGCCAGGCCCCGGGCTAGGTGCTGAGGATATGACGCTGAACAGAAGACCCGGCACGATTTTCACTCACGTGATGTGTGACGCTTAGGGAACATATGTGAATCAGGTCATCCCTCTAAAGGATGACACGGTGCAGCTCCCCTGAGCCCCACGAACGTGACCTGGGACACCAGGGAGAGGAATCCACTGGGGACACGGGAGCCACAGATG